CAGAGTGAATTTGATTGAGTGCGGTCCAGGCCGGCGTGCACACTCCCTCTAATGGAAGCAGCTCAGTAATGCACTGACCTCGCAGCTTTTAACAGCTCTGCCAAGCCATAAGTGGCCATATGTGCTGGATCTTGTAAAATTAACAAGACTGAGCTATAGCACACAGGAGGGGGAGGAGGAGGGGCGGGGGGTGTCCCCGCAGCACTTTAGCATGCATACATTGAGCCACTACACTTCTAACTAGTGTTTGGGTTTCAAAGTAGGGTCACAATTAATTAACGGCGGTGAGGGTAATGGATGAGGAATGTAACCAGGGCCGCCGCTCCCGATATAAAAGCTGAGTCCGCACAGTGCGTAGGACACCATCGTCCATGGGGGATCCCAGTTTGCGCAAGGGGATGAATTGCGACATCATCCAGGGCAAATGTCATGTCCGACATTGTTAAAATATTTGTTTTTAAACTCCGATTAGGGTTTTAACACAAGACAGAGGGTCTCAAATTTGGGTTGTAAACTAGGGTTAGGGTTTCACAGTAGGGTAAAAAAGGTGTTAAACTAGGGCTACGTTCCCAGTGTGATTCCCCCTCCCCCCAGGGGTTTAAACTAAGGTTAGGGTTTCAAAGTAGGGTTTTGAACTAGGATTAGGGTTTCAAAGTAACGTCTTAAAGTAGTGTTAGTGCTTCAAATCAGGGTTTGAAACAGGTGTGAGGGTTTCTAAGAAGGGTTTTAAATCAGGCTTAAGGTTTCAAAGTAATTTTAAACCAGTGTGAGCTTTCAAATTTGTGTTTTTAACTAATGGTAGGGTTTTAAAAACAAGTTGGGGTTTCAAAATACGGTTTTAAACGAGGGCTTGGGTAAAATAAGATTAGGGTTTTCAACTACAGTTAGGGTTTCCAATTAGGGTTTTAAGATACAGTTAGGGTTTCAAAGTAACGTTTTAATTAGTTACAATTTCAAAGTCTGGTTTTACACAAAGACTTTGGTTTAAATGTGCTTTAAATGGCTTTTAAAGCCACATTTAGATATTTTTGCAACCATAAAGGGGACTTTGCAGAAGAGGCCTTTACTGGACAGTTTATGTTGTATAAAATTCCTCTCAAGGTGTTCGAACGCCCGCTGGATTTATGAGCGCTGTCTAGTGCGGAGTGGCTCCAGTCCTGAGTCGCCCATCAAAGTGACTGCGACTGGATGCCGTCCAGAGCTGGTTGGCACGTGCGACATGTGCGCACTCACCCGCGCACGTACACACATGCTTTAATATTTACACTCTCATCCAATACATCAGCACCGCCGTTGCC